TACACCTAGGATGCCTCGGGGGTGAGTAAAACACAGCCTAATTTTCATTTTTGGGTGAACTAACCCTTTAAGAGGGCGTATCGTGAATCTTTTCTGATTTCTTTTTTTATTGAACAGTGCAAAACAAACCAAGGCAGTACAGTTATAAAACAAAAGAAAGAGAGTATACACACAGATACAAATGTGTTTCCAGGTTGTTTTTTTAAGTAATAAACGTACACCTTGAGACACAAATAGATAACCTACAGCTCTGACTGCTTTAGGATTAACAGAGCTTTGGATAGTTTTTATATACTCGTCTAGATCAGCTAAATTAAACAATCTGACCAAAATTTCTGTGTGGGTACATTGCCAAAACAAGTGAATGACATCTTCCTCAGAAGAGTGACAAAAACGAAGTGATGTGTGAGGGTTTATTGGTAAAAATATTGCACAAAGAATAAACAGTAGCAGCCTACACAAACATAAACCTTTTCTGTAGTTTAGAGGACACTTAATTATAATCTCTTACAAGATAATTAGTCACAATTTACAGTATTTCTAACAGTAAAGTTCATGTCTGTCAGGAACAGTAGTGTATTATAGTGCACAAAACAAGGGCTAGGCTTACTATGGTGGTGGGAAAAGGCGTTAAATAATTTGTATCTGTTTTATTATGACAAAAATATATAATGGATAAACATACAATAACAATTTCTGCATTAGAAAAATAATCATTCACTCTAGTTAAATTACCAAAAAAACAACAACTATTGAAAAAATAAAGAAAAGCTGGAATCTTATTTCTTACATAATCTATAATAATTACAGTTTACAGTGAAGCAAAAGTGTTGTACACACGTGAATTACTACAGTACACATTATTGCACATTACAAACTAGCCATGCATCACATGGTATATGTACAAAACTCCCAATACTCCTTACACAAGTGTCCAATAACACGGACCCCTGCTCCAGATGTTTTAATACAGAGAGATTAATTGACCTTGATAATGCAAATCCGTTTCCTCAAGGGAAAATACAAAGTCTGAGGTTCAGCACCTAACATGTAACGTTTCTGCTTTTACAGGGATACTGTGTCATTTGCGAGTGTGTGACAGGCTGGATTTGTTCTCTGCATGTGTGTGTGTGTTTGCTGGTTTGGAGGCACTCCCCTAAACTTCAGTATTTCAGAACAGTGCGGGCCGGTGGCCAGCTGTTTTGCCAACACTCTTGAGCAGGACAGAGCAGCAGAACCTGCCCACAGAAAGCAGCCAGGGGCTGAGTGAAAGGTCACAGATCTGTAGCAAGCATGAGAAATAAGGGCATTTAGCATTTTCATGTCAACATACATTTATAATATGCAGTGGAAAATTTAAGCAGTCATATTTACCTGTCAAAATCATGCAGTGCCAAAGCAGCCAATCACATGACAGAGCAAACGCCAGTCTGCAGGTTCTGCCCGTTACAATTGGAGCTTCTTTTTGCGTACCTGAAGAATTTTAAGTAATTAATTAGAGCATGTATGGAAAGAAAATCAATACTTAATTGATAAAATCAAATCCTGTCCCACATTTTTCCTGTTTTACTTAAAAATATGCAGATTAGGGAAGTAAAATAGGCTGTTCTTTTGTTACTAATTACTAAAATTTTGAATTAGCTTTCATTTTAATTCTAGTATAAGTTTTAATAATTTTGTTATGTTCATATATTTCTTTTCAAATATTTCTTTTTGGTTTTAATTTATTTTTATTTCAGTTTTAGTTTTAGTACTTAAGCTTATTTCAGTTAGTTGCCAAGGCAACACTTCTAATTTTTTTTTAAGCTCATCTAATATTTTTATTTTATTCTGGCTTTATTTCAACTAATGATTAAAAAAGTTTTAGTTAACAATAACAACAATGAAAAAAGGGTTATGTGCTTTTGTCATTTTTATTTACTTTTTTTGGTGGTGGGGGGGTATATTTTTATTTCTATTTAGCTTTAACCCTTTAACTGTCACTCACATTTGAACATAGACGTGAAAGTGCACGATCCAAACTTATTTTTTTATAATTCATGAACGAAAACATTTTGTAACATGATATTGATGTACCATTTTCATGGTAATGCAATGTTTGATTTTAAAATGGGTTTCAAAGGATGAATTTTGAGATTTAAAGTTTTCAATTGATATATATTTCTGATGATTTCTAAAGTGTGATAGAGAAAAAGGCAACAAAGAAGACTTTTTTTGACAAAGGTCAGAACTCCTGTTATGATGTAGATTTTTGAGGTGCATTCTTGTCATAAATTAATCTATTACTTTTCCTACATAGATATTTTACCGATGTTTTTGTAAAAAATTATTTAGGAGTCTTAGACCTTTCCAACGATATATAGTTTGTCATGATTAGATTAGGATTTAATTGTAATATAGTGAAGTAAACTTAGGCGTCCCACAGAGGGGACGGGTGACAGTTAAAGGGTTAATTTATTTTTATTTCAGGTTTAGTTTTAGCAATTTTGGTACTTAACCTTAAAAAACTTTTAAAGTAGTTTCACCAACTAAGTGAAATACCTTTAAATTCATCTAAAAATTTTAATTAATTTTATTTCGGCGTTATTACCTAAAACAATTTTGAAAAGTTTATGTTTCAGTTAACAATAACAACACTGAAAATAGGTTTTAAATAGCACATTAACTGTAAACTGTTTTTGGTGAACTAAAACACTCACGATGTCCACTAATAATGTTAGTTGAGGTTTCTTGCACCAAAAACATCATCAGGTCTTACATTACCATTTTCCACCTTCTCTCTAACCAGTCTTTCTGCTACTGTCCCTTTAAGATATAAATCACCTCTATCATGATTGGCTAGCCTTCTCGAATGTGAAATGAGTAACAAGGTCACTGCTAAGTAGCTGGAAACTGTTCTTCGTTGGTCTCCCAGACAGGTCAGACTGGTCTATTGGCTAGTTTTACAGCATCTTGGCCAGATTGGAAGACCAGTTTAAACCAGCTAAGATCAGCAAACCAGCTTAGGCTGTTTTAAGCATTTTCTTTCTTTCTTTCTTTTTCAGAAGGTATGTAAATGTAGAAGGTCATATGTTAATGCTGTCATAACTGTGACCTTATAAAAATGGTGGCTTCTGTGTAACACATTTTCACAGCTTAATTATCAAACTTAGAGTTTTAGTTCAAATGATCAAACAAAGGTCATGTTTTCCATAATTTACACACAAATACATACCCATTTAGGTCCGCTGGCTGCGAGTGATACACATGTTTGCTCTTCTCTGCAATGGTGAGGGTCCCGACATGGGTGGTCTCACTGTGACAGACCCGGACCGGGTGATACTGACTCTTTGACTCGGTGGAGCCGGAGGGCACGCTCATCTGATTGCTGGGAACGTTGCCGTTTGGTTCTGGGGTCTCAGCGAACAGCTTCTTGCACACGGATTCAGGTGTGGATGTTGCGATGACCTTGATCTCGGGCACAGGCGTCTGTTTCAGACGGAGACAGGCCTCAGAGTGGGCCAGCTGCAGTTTCTTCATGTGGTGAATGGCCACTGTAGCATTGAAGGCTTGCTGGAGTGACGAGATCATGATTTCAGACAGTCAGTAGAGTGCAGGAAACGTCTAAACAAGCTGTTTCAGTTTAGCACCTAATCTTTATAGTGAACCATGAAGTCAAATGAAAAACTACCAATGCATTTTAATGGTGCACAAAAATTGAAATGTTTGGCTATGTAAGCAAAGTATGCAAATTTCACTGTTTGAATAAAATACCTACTTTTGCCCTAATTTGCAGCATACAAACAGAGCTTACTGCATTGTCTCTCATAATGCAGTGCACTAAGCTTGATCTTCAATTACCAGTTTTACAATGAAATGAAATAAGTAGCGATTTTTTTCATATTCAGTATATACTGCACAGTATGCACTTAGCAGTGTGCTAATAATCGATCCGTTCCAAATATAATGGCTATTAAAAATATTTATAGATGTTATGCAATATGCGCTGCTGTTCAAATATTTGGGCTTAGTAAGAATTTTAATGTTTTTGAAAAAAAGTCTCATGCTCAAGAAAGGTGACTTTATATGAAATACAGTAAAAATACAGTAAAACTGTAATATTGTGAAATATTACAACAAATTAAAATAACTGTTTTTATATGAATATATTGTAAAATGTAATTTATTCCTGTAACGTAAAGCTGAATTTTCAGCATCATTACTCCAGTCTTCAGTGTCACATGATATTTAAGAAATCCTTCTGATATGCTGATTTGCTGCTCAAGAAACATTTCTGATTATTATCAATGTCGAAAACGACTGCTTTTTTTGTTTAGAATATTTTTGGAGAAACTGTGATACAATTTTTTTTCAGGATTTTTGATGAATAGAAAGATTAAAAGAACATTGGTTTGAAAAATGGTAACATTTTAAATGTCTTTACTGTCACTTTTGATCAATTTAATTCAGGTTTGCAGAAAAAAAAATACATTTCTTTAAAAACAATTAAATTGGTAATGTACACAGTCTATTTTTTTTCAAAATTGCATGTGAAAGAGAAAGCATAAATGTTTTAAGAGTATGCTTTTATTGTCACATGACCTCATCAAGTTGCATGTTTAATTAAAAAAGCAGCATGTTTGAAATAAAAATGGTTATCTTAATTTATTTTTGTGTTCGAATGTGTTAAGATTTGGTTGTAGTAGTAGAAGCTCAAACTGAGTGTGTTGCATTGCATTGATGTGCCACATCACAAGTTAACATTCTCTGGAAAAATGTCAGAGTTTGAGTTAATTTCCTCTCAACATGTTAGCCCCCATAAGAAGGAGACCCATTTTATGTAAAATAAATCTGGCAGCTGATGTGATTAGGAGAAAACACTTTAGCGCTGCTTTAAATGTCTCAAAACTGGTCTGTTCCAGATATTCACACAGATGGAGCAATTATAGGCAAGACGGGTGACCAAATCAGCCACTCGTATTTAAAGCTGAATTGTGTAATCAGTCCAGAGGTCATCTGAAAAAGCCAACTGAGACTAAACCACAGGAGACACACTCTAACCCGAGAATACACCGAGTTATGAAACATGACCTTACCTTCCACTTGGACTTGGCAAAGTTCTTCTGGATCTGCTCGCTGACGGAGTGGTAGATGTCCTGACTCCGGGCCGTCTTTCCTATAATCCTGCAAGACAAAGCTGGATTTAAAACCAGAGCTGGTGGAAAACAGAAGGATTTTGTTTCCTGTTTTAACCAATCCCTAAGACAGAAATAAGTTTAGTTTGATCTAAACAGTTCTTGACTGTGGGAATCTCTGGTTGTTTCTCCTGCACAGCAATGAGATTAAATGAAGAGCAAATGGAGACTTTTGCTTAAATCTGAGAAAGAAAAAAAAAGACCCACATAACCTCATATGCATCTCATCTGAAGTTTCAGAAGAGATCTCAACATTTTCTCAGACTGCTCAGATTCGCAAAGTCTGGGATATGAACTCAGTGTCTCTCATTAAATTAAGACTGAATTATGAGTGTTATTTTAGTATTATTTTTACACTACTATAGTATTAATATTGAATATGCTTTTATTCATTTCATTTCTCATTTTAATTTAAGTTTTAGTCATTTTGTCTTTTTTTTTCAGTTTTACTAGTTCCCTTTCAGTCGGTCACTCTTGACGTCACGTCGGATGACCGACGAAATTGGGATCTCGCTTAGAGAGACCAATCTACTTCGAGTGTAAACTAAACAAGCCAATGCTCATTGGCATGCGATTATTGCATCCAGCTGCCGCTGATCACAACGCGAGTATAAGTAGGCAGCAGATGCAGCGCATATTCAGCTTTTCGCTTCGGAGCCGAGCGATCACATCGTTCTGCTCCTGACTACTCTACTGAGAGAAGAAGACTGAACGAGTTCAGCGAACCTTATACATAAATGTAAAGTAAAAAATCTAAGTTAAGAATGAGCAGGGAGAAGAAACTGAGAGGGAGTGGGGGGACACTGTTAAAGTTAGTAAAGATTCATATTGTAATCTGAAGCGGCACATTGCCAGTAAGCACGAGGATGTGCTACGCAAACATGGTGCCGCAAAAAGGTGAGCTAGTTACATACCATAATAAATGAATAAACAGGTAGGCTAAGCTGAAGGAGGGAACGGAGATGTCACGTCCCGTCGCCACAGCTCCTGTACCTCCTGTTTTTTTTTTTTATATATATATTTTTATTTAGCTTTATCTTTTTATTTCGGCTTTAGTCATTTTAATCCGTTCCAAATATAATGGCTATTAAAAATATTTATAAATGTTATGCAATATGCGCTGCTGTTCAAATATTTGGGCTTAGTAAGAATTTTTATGTTTTTGAAAAAAAGTCTCTTATGCTCACCAAAGGTGCCTTCATATGATCAAAAATACAGTAAAACTGTAATATTGTGAAATATTATTACAAATTAAAATAACAGTTTTTATATGAATATATTAATTTATTTCTTTGATGCAAAGCTGAATTTTCCGCATCATTACTCCAGTCTTCAGTGTCACATGATATTTCAGAAATCATTCTAATATGCTGATTTGCTGCCCAAGAAACATTTCTGATTATTATCAATGCTTTTTTTGTTTAGAATATTTTTGGAGAAACTGTGATACTATTTTTTCAGGATTTTTGATGAATAGAAAGTCTCTCATTTAATGTGTCTCATTAAATTAAGACTGAATTATGAGTGTTGTTTTAGTATTATTTTTATACTATTATAGTATTAATATTGAATATGCTTTTATTCGTTTCATTTCTCATTTTAATTTAAGTTTTAGTCATTTTGTCTTTTTTTCAGTTTTACTAGTTTTCCTGGTTTTTTTTTATAAATATTTTTATTTAGCTTTATCTTTTTATTTCGGCTTTAGTCATTTTAGTACTAGAACTTCAGCTTATTTTATTTCAGTTAGTTGCAAATGCAACATTTTTAATTTTAGTTTAAGTTTTCCATCTAATATTAATTTTTTATTTTATTTCTGCTTCATTTCAATTACCAAAAATATTTTAAATTATTTTAAGTTTAAACTAAATGTTTTCATCTAATATTTATATTTTATTTCATTTTATTTTTGCTTCATTTCAATTACTGAAAATAATTTGTACAAATGTTAAGGCTTAAGTTTTTTGTTTCATCTAATATTTATATTTTATTTTTTTCTGCTTCATTTCAATTTTTTTTAATAATTGTAATTTTTTTAAGCTTACATTTTTCATCTCATATTTGTATTGTATTTTATTTCTGCTTCATTTCAATTACCGATATTTATATTGTATTTAATTTCTGCTTCATTTCAATTACCAAATATTATTTTTGATATTTTTTATCTAATATTTATATTTTATTTCTGCTTAATTTTCTGACCGAAAGTTACGTTTAATAGTTTTAGTTAGCAATAATGACATTGCAAATGATCCGTGCTATACGATCCATAATTTTATAGCTTTATACTCTTACTCTGTATCAACAATGTCTCATTTGTGTTGTATTTCTGACATGTCTGATACATAAATGAAACAACAGAGATCTCCACTAAGGCTCATAAGATTTAAAGAGCACTAAATCTGTCCTATGATCACTCACCAGGGGTGTCTGAGAGCCTGCTCTGTGTCATAACGCATCTTAGGATTCTTCTGCATCGTGTTGCGGATGAAGTCCTTTGCTAGAGAGATAATAAAGATGCAAGAGGTTAAAGGCTTCTAGTTACAGCTGTGTTTTACAGAATCACATGAGATGATTTAGCAGTGGGGAAGTATAGGATGCTAACCAGACTCAGAGATATCATCCCAGAAGGGCGAGTCAAACTCATACTGCGCCTTCATGATTTTGGAAAACAGACGAGTCTCGGTTTCTTCATAGAAAGGAGGATATCCACAGAGACTGTAAAGATACAGCAAAGTAAATAAATGCAAACTTCCAGCAGGGGGCGCCGTGTATCTCAGAGACCGACATCGTTCGCTCTCTGTGTGGAGGTAACCAGCACAGCTAAAGGTCTTTGGTGAACCAGTGACTCACTCTGATTTAAACTGATAATCTGTCAGTTTTGACAAACACAAGCTTTAGGTTTCTAAATTAAGAACTAGGCATCCATTTATCACTCTCTGTAAATAGCAATGCTGTTTAAAGTCCAACTCACTTGTGGAGCAAATATAGTATAAAAATCAGTTTCTTAGAAATGACATCCCTACTAGGAATGACTTACAGGATGTAGGTGATGACTCCAATAGACCAGCAGTCAACGGCTTTGCTGTAAGGTTTCTGGGCCAATACTTCAGGGGCTGTGAGGAAATACAGATTATTAGAAACAACATGGTTTTAAATAGACCTTGTTTATTGTCTTAAATGTCCTTGGATTTATTGTGCAAGATCATAAGTGCATGTTATTTGCAAAAAAAAAAAAAAGTTGGTTTTTAATCAGTGTTGTCGTTAACTACAAATAAAACTATTAAAAATCATTTTTTGCTCACTGAAGTAAAGCTGAAATATATATATATATATATATATGTGTGTGTGTGTGTGTGTGTATATATATATATATATAGCACTTAAAATTTCACACAAAAAAAACCTAAAATAATAACGGAACATATAAAAATAAAAGCTTATTAATATGTTAATAAATACTAGAATAAATAAATTCTAATCACAGTACACTGTAAATATAATACAAAATAACACTTATTTTTTTATAATATTTCATCAAAATACCTACAATTGTAACTAAAAGTAAAATAAAAACTGAAAATATTAAAATGAAAGTATATCAATATACGTATAAATACTATATACATTAATATTAATAAATAATATAAATAATACCAAAAGAACACCTGTCTTCAAAATTTCTATCAAAATGCCCCAAATTTAAACTAATCTTACAATAAAACCTCAAATGATAAAATTAAAGCATTAATATATGCATAAATACTAAATACTGTAACAGTTAATAATATTAACATGTTTTTATAATCTATCTTACTCTGTCTTTTCTGCTGATGCAACCAGCACAGTTTTATAAAATAATATTAACAAATACTAATCCAGCACATGAACCACTCAAAGCACACTACAGCATTTCCCACTGAACACTGACTGTGTGTCACTCAGAGAAACATCACATTACAGAAGGTGAATATTTTGTGAAATTTCAATCAAAAAGCAGCTGTGTATGCGGCCTTTCAGATTTACAGATGTGTCTCTTGTGCTTTGACATTCACTGGCTGTTTAAAACACCCCATTTATTTGACATCGTTCCTACCGACATATCCTGGAGTCCCGCAGGCCGTGGACATGATGCCATTATCCTCCATCTTAGACAGGCCAAAATCACTGATCATGATCTTGGAGTTTTCATCAGGGCTGTAGTAGAGCAGATTCTCTGGCTGTAGAGAGAGTACAGATGCAGGAAGTCAATGTTTTGTGGGTTTAAGTCGACATCTGTTGATATCGTCCATACTGATATATGCGTATGTTTGTGTGAATGCGGCGTCTCTGTACCTTGAGGTCGCGGTGGACTACGCTGCTTTTGTGCAGGTAGCTGACTGCCTCCAGCACCTGTCTGATGACCAGACTAGCATCGGCCTCTGAAAACATGCCCCGGTCCAGGATCCGGTCGAACAGTTCACCACCTGAAACACTGATGGGATATGAGCAATGTAACAACATGCTATAAAGACACATGAGGTTTAAAGTAACAGGGGTTTCAGCGGGTGTCAATACAAACAGAGGTGCTTACAGCTGCATGACCAGGTAGTAATGCGTCCGACTTTCATAGAAATCCTCCAAGCAAACCACATTGTCATGTTTGATCCTATATGACAACAGATTAATAAGTTAGAAGATGGTTATGTCGATTTAACATCGGATAAATTATGTTGTACATGCATTTTCAATGTCCTTGGATCTGATTTTATTCTCAATCTCTGTTTCCTTCCGAACTGTAATTCCCATTTGAATTTCAATGTGTAGCACTTTTCACAACAGCTATAATAGTATTGTGTTTAAAACTTAAAGAAACAGTTCACCCAAAAATTTAAATTTGCTTAAAATCCACTCACTCTCAGGCCAGCCAAGATGTAGAGGAGTTTGTTTCTTAACAGGAACAGATTTGGAAAAATTGTAGCATTACATATTTTGCTCATCAATGGATCCTCTGCAGTGAATAGGTGCCGTCAGATTTGAGAGTCTAAACAGCTGATAAAAACATCACAATAATCCACACCACTCCAACCCATCAATTAATGCCTTGTGAAGTGAAAAGCTGCATGTTTTAAGAAACAAAACCATCATTAAGATGATGATTCAGACCAGATGACTTTTTCACTGGAGAAAGCATTATTATGGATAGAGCACTTTTTGGCCAGAAGCGACAGTTTGAAGTTAAAAACGTCTTAATGATGGTTTTGTTTCTTACAAACACGATTATTGTGATGATTTTTATTAGCTGTTTGAACTTTCATTTTGATAGAACCCATTCACTGCAGAATATCCATTAATGAGCAAGTGATACAGTGCTACTTTTCTCCAAAACTGTTCGTTTAATGTTTTAAAGATACAAAAGTACACACACTTTCAGACTGTGTGGAGATGACTGAATTTATATAATATATTGGATATGAATTGCATATATTCATCCATAAACTAAAATATCAGTGTCATGCAAGACAAACACTGCATTTGTTCCACACATTAGCTGTTTCAATTTTAAAATGCCAGCCAGTTTATTTTGCTCTGTTATAAAACCTAGCAAACTGCCAATCACGCAACTTTTCGCTTCACAAGACGTTAACTGATGGACTGTAGTCATGTGGATTACTTTGTGTAGATTATTGTGATGTTTTTATCAGCTGTTTGGTACGGTGGCCGAGATAGCTCAATGCGCTGTAACTTAAGAAAACACATGCAAATTGAAAAAACACCAGCAAATTAAGAAAACATCTTCATCAGTTTGACA